TTTGAAGGTCACGGGCAACCCCACTGTAGTATACAGGGTCCATCCTGTCCAGTGCACTCGGCTGCAAGGCCTAGGGCAGCTGGCGCGGTGGCCACTGGGAGAGCCAGCCACCACGAGGCGGCTGTGTGGGCCGCCCTCATGGGAGAGCTGGGCCTGGGACTCCCAGGGGGGTTTTGGCTTCAACACCTGGGTGTCCCCTGTCCCTCTACCACATGCCCGCAATGCAGGGAGACCCCCGGACTCTGCCCACTGCAGGGGGTGAAGCTGGAGGAGGGAGAGAGCCCTCGTGAGGTCCACCAGGCTTCCAGCCCCGTGAGGACCTGGCCGTGTGGACCCATGGCTCAGCCAGCATGCTGGTGCGCAGCCTGCATCCCCGCCGCAGCCCTGGCTGGGGGGAGCTGTCTGGGAAAGGCCTAGGCCGGCCTGGGGGTCTCTGAAACCTCTGGCTCCTCACGGTGGGGACGGGAAAGAGCCACTGCAAGACGGGGGAGCAGTCTCTCTTATTTCCTGAGGTCTCCTTCCGTTTCTGAGGGCAGGAGGCCCACTCGGGGGGCCTGGCTCAAGTCAGAGCCAGCCTCCCTCCCTTGGCCGGCCCACCCCGTCCACCCCGGCTCCCCCTCGCCTCCTGCTAGGCCCTGAACCTGGCAGGCTGGGTGGCTGCCTGAGGTCTCCACAAGGTCTGACCCAGGCACTGGCACTGTCCAGCCTCAATAAATCAGGCCCGTGTGGCCACGGGGCCTGGGGGTGGCAGCTGGGCCGGGGAGGGGAGCGCGGCGGGGGGTGGGGGCCTGTCCTGGTACATGCTGCGTTAGCAGGGAGCAGTGCCCAGCTGCCAGCCAGCCAGCGGGGGTGCTGACGGTCACATCACAGGGAGCCCAGCCACGGGTGGCCCAGCGGGAAGCCTGGACCCCAGCCGGGCTCCCAGGTAGTGGGGCTACAGTGGGGATACAGACCCAGATGCCCCCTGCCTGCCAAGGAACCAGGGACAGAAAAACAGCCCCCCCCGGGGGGGGCCAGAGACACCATACACCCCCCCCCCCGCCAGGGGTGGGTAAGCAGCCCTTGCGGCCGTGCAACCCAGTCACCGAATCCCCTTCCCAGAGGGAGACCCGTGTCTCCTGAAGGAACAGGCACACAGACCTGGCAGGAAGGGAGACCCTGGGGGCGGGGACGAGGGACTAAGAAAGCCCCACCCCCAGCTCGACTTGGCTGCACACACACACAGGCCTGGCCCCCACCCCCGGCCCCCGTGATGGCACAGAGCCCCCCCCCCCCCCACGATGTCATCAGGAGAGCCGGGCCTGCCGCCCCGGGCCGGGTCCAGTCGGGGGGCCTCCTCCTGATGAGGCTGGGAGACGCCTCAGCCTCTCGCCTTCAGCCACTCTCTCAGCCCAGCCATTTCCTCCGCTGTGGAGGGCGGGGACTGGGAGTGACACTGCAGAAAGGGTGGGCGGCGGAGGAGCCCCTGCCCAGGGTTCCCAGGGGGCATTAGTCGGAAGGGGACAGCTGGTCCTCCTCGCCCCCGCGCCCTGGCCCCCCGGCTGGGAGTGGGCAGGGAGGGTGCTGGCTCTCCGGCCAGGCTGGCCACCGTCAGGAGCCCCCAGCCTGACGTCAGTGCCACTTATTGTTGTCGCTGGGGCTTGAGTCACACCCCGTGACGCCACTGGGGTCAGCTCTGCAGCGGCCGGGGTGGCCTGCGGGGCCAGCTTCGGGGCTCGGCTCTCCCCTGGGCGCACACCAGGATGAGGTGGGGCCATCCAAGGCCACACTGGCCGGCCGAAACCAGCTGCCTCCTCCCAAGGTCTTGGGTTGGCCTTCAAGGTCCCGCCAGGGGCCTCTTGCTGCGGGCCTGTGCGCCGGGCTGGCCGTGGCCCTGGGCTCCGGCCGAGAAGTCGGCCAGACGCTGTCCTTGCGTCTGCTGCCGGGGAACCCGGCTTCCAGCTCTGACCCTTGCTGAGCTTGTCCCGCCACCCCCCTCCACCCCAGCCTTTCTCTCTCCTCCAGAAAGTCTTCCTGGAATCATCCTGGAAGCTCGGCTCCTTCCTGGAACCAGCCTTTCCCTGCCCAACTCCTCGGGCTGCCGTCCTGTGCTTTCCACAGCCACCTGAGTCTCACTCCCCACAGCCTGCTGGGAGCGGGGCCTGGGACCCCTGGTCACCCTGAATGTGTCACTTCCTGTTCCAGGCCACCGGCGTTTCTTTGGGTTGACAGCGGTCGCCGCCAGCCTGGCCTCCTCTGACCCCCACAAAGCCTGCTGCTGTTTCTTTTCACACCACGTGCTGGGGCTCCTGCCTGCATGGAGCTCGTGGGCCATCTCTGAGCTCCCAGACCCACTGAGGCTCGATTTTGCTGTCTCGACAGGGGCAGTGACAAGCGTGTTGGGGGTAGAGAGCGGTCATCACTGCCCCCGGTCCCTGGTGGGCTCTGGGCTCTGGGTCCCGCCCACCCCCCCCCTCAGGGGTTGCTGGGCTGCAGGACAGGCAGCTTTCTCTTTTCCCAGGCTCACCTGGGAGAGCTGCCCAGGCCTGGGACAGGCGCGAGGGCTCTGAGTATGAGCAGGGCCTGTCGGGGGAACGAGATGGGGTGGGGGAACAGACTTGGGGGAGAAGGCCAGCCAGGGGCGGGGCTTGCGCACCTGGGTGTGGAAGAATTGGGTGTGTGTGTTGGGGGTGCTGGAGCCACCTGTACCTCCTGCTTCAAGATGTAATCATTCATTCCTTCTGGACTCTGAATTCAGTGACATCACGTAGTTTGGCCATGGCAGGAAACGCAAATGCCACATAGCCAGGCATTTCCCTCCAGGCCAGCAGACACCAAGCACTTGCCAGTGCTGGAGATGGCACTACCCGGGGAGGGCCTGGGCTGGAGAGGCCAGAAAGAGGGCTCTGGGGTGGGAAACAGGCCTGGATTTAAGGCCCAGGCGCTGTCACTTCCTGCGTGACCCTGGGCAAGCCATGCAAGCTCCAGCACTGTTAGTTTCTTAACTACCTCCTAGGGTTGATTTGCACCAAGCTGCCACTTGCTGCCCTGGCATCCCAGCTTCGAGTCTCTGCTGTTCTGCTTCTGACCCGGCTTCCTGTTAATGTGCCTGGGAAGGCAGCTGAAGATGGCTCAAGTGCTTGGGCCCCGGGCCCCTGGCCCGGCTATGGCTAAGGTGGCTGGGGGAGGGAGATGGGAGTGTGAGGGGCAACCAGTGGATGCAAAGTCTCTGCGTAACTCTGCCTTTCAAAAAAAGAAATAATTTTTTAAAAATATTTATTTATTTATTTGAAAGTCAGAGCTACACAGAGAAGAAGAGGCAGAGAGAGAGAAGGAGAGGACAAGAGAGAGAGAGAGGTCTTCCATCCGATGGTTCACTCCCCAATTGGCTGCAACTAGGCTGGAGCTGCGCCGATCCGAAGCCAGGAGCTTCTTCTGGGTCTCCCACGTGGGTGCAGGGGCCCAAGCACTTGGGCCATCTTCTGCTGCTTTCCCAGGCCATAGCAGAGAGCTGGATTGGAAGTGGAGCAGCCGGGACTCGAGCCAGCACCCATATGGGATGCCGGCACTGCAGGCGGTGGCTTTACCTGCTATGCCACAGTACCAGTCCCAAGAAATAATTTTTTTAAAGCCCTTTTTAATCCCACTCAACAAATGTGATCTGTCATTTTGGGAGATGAAGTCTAACCCCTAAGCAAGTAGCTCAGCAGTGCCTCCTGGAGGAGGTGGGGGCATTAACAGAGCCACCGACAATGCCCGCTTTACCCTGGGCTTGCAATCTACAAATAGAAACAAAGGTAGCCGGCGCCGCGGCTCAATAGGCTAATCCTCCACCTAGCGGCGCCGGCACACCGGGTTCTAGTCCCGGTCGGGGCGCCGGATTCTGTCCCGGTTGCCCCTCTTCCAGGCCAGCTCTCTGCTGTGGCCAGGGAGTGCAGTGGAGGATGGCCCAAGTGCTCGGGTCCTGCACCCCATGGGAGACCAGGAAAAGCACCTGGCTCCTGCCATCGGATCAGCACGGTGCGCCGGCCGCGGCAGCCATTGGAGGGTGAACCAACGGCAAAGGAAGACCTTTCTCTGTCTCTCTCTCTCACTGTCCACTCTGCCTGTTTAAAAAAAAAAAAAAAGAAACAAAGGTGTCCCCAGGAAGTTTCCAAGGGCTCAGAACCCATATTCCTACCACTTTACAGGTCGCAAGGTGTGGACTTCTTCGTTTGCTAGAATTTGACAGGCACAGGGACGCGGAGACGGAGAGAGGGAGCTTCCAGCCACAGGTTCGTTCCCCAAAGGCGCGCCACACAGGGAATGGAGGTCTCCCAACCACCTGAGACAGCACCTGTCGCCTCCCAGCTGGAAGCTGGGGTCCGCGGCGGGGCTGGGACTCGAACCTAGGCACTCCCCTAAGGGATGTGGGCGTCCTGTTTAGCAGCTCCCTGTCTATGCAGCGGGAACTCGAATGCCAAGGGCCTCCGACAAGAGATGGCGGAATTGCCAGACTTACAAGAACCATCGCGGCAGGCTGCCAAGGGATGCTGCTGGCTGAAGTGAGCGCTCAGCGACAAGATCCTTGCTCCAGCATCTACATGTGGGTTCCCGGCCGGGGAGCCTGTGATACACGCTCCAGCTCTGCCGTCCAGTCGGCCGCATACACAACCTCCCCCAGACCGCTTCCGGGTCTCAGCAGGGCCGGGGACCCTGTTCTGGGACCCCAAGGCCGGCTCGCCGCCCAGACTCCTCTCCGCCGGCGGAGGCAGCGCGGAGCACACCCGGCCGCTCCTTCCCGCCCATCTCTATGGCGGAAGTGCGTCGTTCCATCCGAAGCACAACAACATTCTCAGTGGTAAAGGGTGAATGGACTCGTCCAATCGAGGGGGGAAACACCTCACTATTAAAATTTTAAAATCCGAGAGAGAACCCAGAAAAAAGTAGAATTCAGTTTTCACAGAAGAACAGGACTGCAGATGTGCGCAAAGGTGATTGTACAGAAGATCTGAGCGTCGCGTTCCAGGTGGGCTCGGTCGAACCGGGCGCCTCCCCCCGCTCCGGAGGCCGCGGCGCAGGTGGAACCGTCCCGGCGCGGCGGCTGGTCGGGGGGCCGGAGCTGGCTTCCGGCGCCGGCGCCGTCTGTGGCCGCGGTGGTCTGGTGCCGCCGCTAACGCGCCTCGAACTTCAGAGTCCGGTGAGTCTGGGCGCGGGGCGCTGTCCCCGAGACAGCCCGGGAGTCCGCTGTCCCCTTGCTGCCGGGAGTGCGCAGGTTCGCGGGGGCGGGGGCGATGAGAGGAGCCGGACCCGGGCGGGGGTTGTTGGGTGCGCCCCGCGGGGCCGGACGGCTGTTTAGCGGGAGGAAGCGGGAGCGGGGAAGGGGCCTGAGGCCAGGCTGAGCACACGGTGGGCGTCCGGGTGCCCGTGGCTCCGAGTCGGCCCCGGGGGAAGCGGCTGGGGGAGGAGTCGTCCCGCGCCCTGCTCGCTGGTAGCGGGGTCCTGGGGTACAGCAGGTGCTTTACGGACCAGACATGGCTGCTGTGAGAAGGGGACTGGGGTATGGGGGTCGCGAGAGGGGGAGCTATGGAAGGGGGGGCGGCGGGACACCGCGGGGCTGGGCCGACGCGAGCTGTGCGGAGGCGGTGGTCGCCTGTGGGAGGTGGCGGACTGTGTCCAGCGCTGGGCCTCTCCGTCTGCGCTCCTGTTTGGTTCTGTCCCATCTCTCCTTGCCGCCGATCCCTCCCTCCCGCCAGCCGTAGGGTAACGTCGTGTCCTGGCTAATATTAGCCGTAGGATAACGAATGGCCAGTACCTGGTGAACACTTGCCCGAGATCGACGCCCCTCACCCCCGGCCCTCACGTCCCCTCACCCAGTTGCAGGGTCTTCCCCGGAGTCTGGGTGGCCCTGGAAACCTGGGAGATCTGGGGTGCGTGTGCATGCCTCGCTCAGAGAGTTAGCTTTTTAAAAGCTCCGTCTTCAAGGCTTCCTTTGAGTTCTCAAAGCAGCGTGTGACTCGAGTAGCTCCAAGTCGTCCTGTGCTCTGTAGCCAGGGGTAACGCACAGACTTGGTCTGCACGCAGTGACGGCGCCTGGCTGGCCACTACGTTCTCCTCAGAGCCTATTCGGGGGTCCCCAAGACCATCCTCCGGTCTCTTCCCGGCCCCGCGATGTTTGCCTGCCTGCCTGCCTGCCCTCCACCCTGCCAGCTTCCCCAGGGCAGGGCTGTGCCTACCTGCGCACGGCCAGTGCCTCTTAGCTGCTGTCCGGGGATGGGGCGCCAAGCTTGGGCTGCCTGTGGGATTGCAAACCCCTGCTGAGCGTGGTCTGGTAACGCACAGCCGGGTGCAGAGCAGGGCTGTGCTGACCTGGGCGCCTCTGGCAGGTTGGCCCGCCCTGGTGGGGCCGCCGCCGCTGCAGGATGAACTGTCGCTCGGAGGTGCTGGAGGTGACGGTGGAGGGCCGGCAGGTGGAGGAGGCCATGCTGGCCGTGCTGCACACGGTGCTGCTCCACCGCAGCACGGGCAAGTTCCACTACAAGAAGGAGGGCACCTACTCCATCGGCACTGTGGGCACCCAGGACGTCGACTGCGACTTCATCGACTTCACCTACGTGCGCGTGTCCTCTGACGAGCTGGACCGCGCCCTGCGCAAGGTTGTCGGGGAGTTCAAGGTAGGGGCGCGGGGATCCCTGTGTGCCCCTTGTTTTGTACGTGGGTGCATGGGTGCGCGTGCGCTGGCTTCTTCCGGTCTGCAGAGCTGGTGCCTTCGGAGCTGCTCTTGGGGCCCCGGGGGCTCAGGGAGGGAGTGGCTGTGTCCAGGGGAAGCCCCAGCTCCTGGCTCTCTCCACGGGCTTCTGCCTCCATCTCCCCGAGTGGCTCCGTGGTGGGGAGGGGGTCCCTGTGGCAGTGTGGCCGTGGGGGTGGGGGCCTGTGTGGGACGGCCAGGCCACAGTGCTAACCCTGGCTCACTCGGGAAGAGGGAGTGGGTGTATGCTTGTTAATTCCACCTCCATTCAGATGTGCAGTGTTTCCCTGTTTCCATGAGTGGATATTTTGATATTTTTACAAGCCTGTCCACCTGGTTTACTCCTTAGACTCCTGCAGCGGCTCGGGCTGGGCCAGGCCAGGACTGGGAGCCAGGAGCCCCGTCCAGGTGTCCCATGTGGGTGGCTGGGCTCCAACTACATGAGCCTGCATCCGCTGCCTCCCAGGGTGCGCAATAGCAGGAAGCTGCATCGGAAATGGAGCAGCTGGGACTCGAACTGGCGCTCAGATACAGGAAGCCTGCCCCCGTAGCGCCAATCCCGGCTGGGCTAGGAGATAGGTCTGCTCAGTTTGCTCCGTCACTTCACACAAATCCTGTTCCCTCGGGCTGGGGCTGGGAGAGCACTTCCCTGGGGCGCCGAGACCCGTGCTCCGGCTCATCGTGTGCCCCCCCCCCCCCCCCAGGAGGCCCTGCGCAGCTCCGGCGGGGACGGGCTGGGGCAGATGTCCCTGGAGTTCTACCAGAAGAAGAAGTCCCGCTGGCCCTTCTCGGACGAGTGCATCCCGTGGGAGGTGTGGACGGTGAAGGTGCACGTGGTGGCTCTGGCCACGGAGCAGGAGCGGCAGATCTGCCGGGAGAAGGTGGGCGAGAGGCTGTGTGAGAAGGTGACCAATGTGGTGGAGGTGATGAACCGGCACGAGTACCTGCCCAAGATGCCCACGCAGTCCGAGGTGGACAACGTGTTCGACACGGGCCTGCGGGACGTGCAGCCCTACCTGTACAAGATCTCCTTCCAGATCACTGACGCCCTGGGCACTTCCGTCACCACCACCATGCGCAGGCTCATCAAGGACACCCTGGCTCTGTAGCCCTGGCTGGAGCCCAGGGAGCTCCCGCTAGAACCCACACTGGGAAACTCGGGGCGCCGCCGAGGGGGCTGCTGCCAGCGGCCATGTCCTACACACCCCCTGCGGGGCCCTCTGCCGTCCCCGCGTGGAAGCACACCACTGGGTCGGTGAATAAAGTTGAGAGTGCAAGTTGGGGTTGAGCCGTCCTCCCCGGCGGTGTTTGGCCCCAGACGTCAGCCCTTCCAGTGTTCCTGCGAGGGCGCGGTGTGATGGGCTTACACACCAGGGGTGCCTGGGCGGCTGGAGAGTCACACAGGTAGGGGTCGCTCAGCCAGACGCTACCCTGCAGCCCCGGACTGAAGCCGTGGGGTCCAGACGCGTGGCTTTTCTCTTCCCTGGCTGGGGAAGGCCCCGTGGCCACAGCACACGCGCAGGTCCCTGCGTGCCCGAGGCGGCAGCTCCGTGTGGGTGTCTCCGGTTGGCCAGCTGGGGCCTGGGCTTCCTCCAGGCAGGCTGGCCTCGTGCTTACCGGGGCCTTGCCCTTGGCGAGTTCCACGGGCACAGGCAGAATCTCCAGTGGGTGCTGTGTGTGCACTGACTTAGTTCATATTTTACGATGGCTTTTGGCTCTGCCTGGGGCAGTTCTGAGTGGATGGAGAGTTGTGTGTGAGGGCCACTAAGGGAGCTTGGGGTGGGGGGCTGGTGTGGCGCAGGCTCGGAGGCCAGGAGGCAGGGATGTGTTGATGCGTTTTTCTCCGGTGAAGCTGCCCTTGGCCATGGGGCGTTTGTGCCTGAGGTTCCGTGGGTGTTGCTGATCCTGTGTGAGGCCTCAGGGGGTTGGGGGATCCTGGAGGGGGGGGCTGGGGAGCTGGGGATGGCCCCTAGCAAGTCTCTGCCCGCGCATGACCTTCCACACGGCCCTTGCTGATCTGGTTCCGCGTACTGGGCTGGCACAGGTGCATGTGAGCAGGAGGGGAGCAGAGGCCAGCGGCGGGGTCCCTTAGACCTGGCCTGAGGGGCGAGCGTCTGTCCCAGCTTTCCCGGAGCCGCCTGGCCGGGGGACAGCCAGCTGGCGGCAGGCTGCCGTGGGGGACAGGACAGTCCTGGCCCTCCCTCCTGGCACTGGGATTCCCCTGAGTTAGGGGACCCGTTTATACAAGGGTTGGGGTGGGAGGCCTGGTGGCCCAGGTCTGAATGTCCCCCCAGGCTGCCGGAGGCCCCTCAGGCTGATGGGGCGGGGGTGTGGGGTAGAGTGGAGAGCTTTGGTGCTAGAAATTCCCGAAGGGCGGCGCCCTTGTCCTGTGTCTTGCTCAGAGGGGATGCGCCCTAGCCAGCAGCTAGGACGGGGCTGTGGGGAGGTGCCTCGAGTTTGCCTTCCTGGCCGGGGAGAGTCCTTGGGGCCGGGGCGCCTGGGTCCGGCTCGCTGTGTTTGCATGAGTAAGTAGGGCTGTGGGCCTTGGGGACGGGAAGAAACACGCCTGGCTTGTGGAGAAGGGGCCGGAGTCTGCGCTGGAGGAGCACTCTGTCTGCCCCGGAGGGTGGGGGCCTCGGGGACCCGCCCCTCTGGCCCCTCCCCGCTGCTGCGGCCGGGCCTTTGGCACATCTGGCGGCCTTGCACACATCTGGGCAGCTGCCGGCGCCGGAGCATGAACGGCTCGCAGGTGGGCGCTGCGGCCCCGGCCGCCTGGCTGACCTGCTGCAACCAGTCGGGGGCGCCGCTGGAGCTCCCTGGGGGCCGGCGCACAGTGCAGGCGGCGGTGCTGGGCGTGCTGTCGTTGCTGGTGCTCTGCGGGGTCCTGTTCCTGGCCGGCGGGCTGCTCCTCCGTGCGCAGGGCCTGGCGGCACTGCTGGCCCACGAGCGCCGGGCGTCCTGTGGCTCCGAGCCCAGCGGCAACAGTGGGGGCGACGACTCCTCCTAGGTGCCCGGCCTGCCCTGGGCGGCGGCGGCCTTGGGGCAGCCAGGACCCAGCCCAGAGGCTCCGGGGTGCTGCACACAGGTGAGAGGGCTGGGCACAGGGCGAGTGGCAGCCACGCCACGGAGCACTCATTGAAGAGGCCCCTTGGGGAGTCAGCTCCTGGGTGGCTGCCGTCCCAGCTGAGCCCGGGAGGGAGGGAGGCTGTGCTGGGATCGACCAAGGAGTGCCCCTCCCCTCTCCTGAGTGTCCCCTCCCCACCCTCATGTCCTTTTCTTGGGAACAGAGGCCGAAGAGGGTCGGTGAGCCCGCCCCCAGCTGCGTCCAGGTTTTAGGGGACCCCTGCCCCTCTGCTTCTTCCCAGGCGGGCTTGGGTAAGGCTCCTTTCTGCCTGCTCTGACCGGGAGTGTGGCTGGATGGCCGTGGGGGAGGGGAGGTGCGCCAGGCTCCCTCGGGGCCAGGACTTGGTGTGTTGTGTGCGTTGGGGTGGGGGTGGGTGGGCTATGCGGTCGGCCCAGCTCCCAGCAGCTGGGGGGCCTCAGGGGCACGTAGCCCCAGGAAGTGGGGCTGAGGGTTCCCAGCTGCGGGGGCTCCGTCTGGGTCTCCTGCCTGCGTCTCCAAGGACAGGAACCATATGGAGGAAAGGGCCTGGGTGGTCCAAAGGAGAAGGTAACTCCGGGCCAAGGCCACCCCCCCCCCCCCCACCTCCTGGCAGAGCCACAGGGGCTGAGCCGGGAAGCCTGCTCTGCTCAGCTGTGTTACTGGGAACTCGGGGGGCTCCTGCGGATGGGTGGGGGTGATTCTGGCCTCTCTTGCCCTTCCCACTCTCCAGTGCTGCCCTGCTTGCCCAGGACTGGGGCGGGGTCCCCAGTTTCTCTCCCAGAGAAGGGAGCCCACTGGGTGCCTGTGAGAGGGGCTGGGAGGGGTGGGGTGGGGTGGCGGCTGGACAGGTGCAGCTCAGCCGCTGTGAAGCTGCCAAGAACCTGCCAGCCCGCCGGGCGGCCCAGGGCCTGGCGCTAATCCCAGCCACCACCGTGCCCTTGCTCATCGGCCACTTCTCACCTTGGCACCTCGGTGACGACGAGTGTGTGCCCCGCTGGGCCTGGCCCGGGGGCCCTCAGTGTGTGCCCAGGGGACACAGCCCGCTCGCCGGCTGGGTCCTGGGGCTCTGGCATGGCTGGGGTCTCCCTGCCATCTGGCCTCATGCATCTTGTCACTTGCCCAGCCTTCTTCCCCCAGCCACGCTTCCCCAACAGGGGGAGAGGGTCTTGGGAGCCTTCACGTCTTGCAAGTGGGGGCTTCGAGAACTTCGCAGAGCAGCTCTGAGGTTCAGGGAGCAGTGGCAAGTCTCGGGGAGCAGCGGAGCTGGCGCTGGCCCCCAGGACCCCCTCATTTCCCGACCTGGACGGCCTGCCTGCTGCCCCAGCGCTCTCGGAGCTGCTGCCATGGGTGGCCTCTCGGCAGAGAGGACCTCTGTGTCACGGCCCCCTCCTGTTCCCTCTTGATGCTGGGAACAGTCGCAGCTGCCCCGGCGGCTGGATTCAGCTTTGCCCGGCCTGACCCCGAGTCACAGGGAGGGGCTCCGAGGGTCAGCTGGAATAAACCTCTATGGAGAAAAGATCCATGGTCGGAGTGGAGGGATCGGGGTTGAGTGGGGAGACCAGTGCCTGGTCCTTTTGGGTTCAGGTTCAGGTGGTGTTAGGGTCATAGAGGGGGCCAGTGGAGGGCAGGGCTGGGCCCCAGCACCGTTGCCTCTGCTCCCACCTGGGACGATAATCCCACCTCCCGCCCTTGCTGTCCCTTCACCTCAGTGCTAGGGGACCTCCGCGTCCCCTGGGGGAGGTCCTGAGATGCTTGCTGTGGGGCTGTGGGCCTGGGTAGGGCCGTGGGAATACTGGGAAGTGGGTGCTCAGCCGGGGTGAGGTGGGGTGTGGGTGTGGGTGGGTGGGTACCAGTCTGAATACCTCCCGGGGAAGCTGGGCACCTGGGCTCTTGGCAAGCAAGCTCCCTTAGGCTGTGCTTGGGAGCTTGGGATTGGCTGGTCACACCCTGAGCTGGGAGGGGCTGAGGGTTTATCCTGTCCACTCCCTGGCCTCCATGCAGGGTAGCCCCTTGACCAGCGACACGGGGTGGGAGTTGGGGGACACGGCTGTCTTTGCAGATTCTGGAGCCCTACACGCACAGCCTGCCTCCTGGAGCATTCTCCCGCTGCCAAAACGCCATCGCCCCGGCCCGGTTTGTGGTGCGGATGACAGGCTAGGGGCCAGCTGGACTGTGGAGAGACCTGCACCTGGAACCCTCGTGTTCTGCTGTACCTCCTGAGATGCGCCTGGAGTGCATGAACCCGCCGGCCCGGGGACTGGGTGCTGGCCGTGCCCCCTCCGCCAGGCCTCTGGGGACGACGGGCCCGGCCCCTGCTCCGGTGCGGGGCGGCAGTGGTCTGAGGGGCCCGTGGCCTGTCCTGTGGAGGGCTGCGGGTCCGTGTCTCACAGGGAGGCCTGGGGTGCCCCAGCACCCGGCTGTGCCCCATTGCTTCCTACCACTTGTTATTAAATGTGTGGGAGAAGAGTCTATTTCCAGCCCGTTACCTTGGAATCAGCGGCTTGTTCCCCTGCAGTATGACCTGCCTCTGGTAGATACTGAAATAGCTGCGCCCACCTCTCCCCCGAGGTCTCCACAATGGTGGCTGTCCTGTGACAATTTCTGAGAGTGAGTGACTCGCATGCTAGCACGCTGCTGCCCCCCTGTGGCCAGCGTGTGCAAGAGCACCATTTCATTCCCTGTTTACCGTGGGGTCTGAGAGCCCAGCCCAAGCCCCAGGCTCTGAGAGCAGAGTGGATTGTGTGATCCTGGGCGTTGGATTCCAGGTTGCAAATCTTCCTGGCCCCTAGTCTCTTTCCTGTGTTTCCCCAAACACAACCCATCTGCAAGAGAAGAGGGAGGGAGGGCGGAGGTGCCAGGCCACCGATCTGTTCCCACAATACTTTGCGTGCTCCTCCTCTCTCTGTGAAGTGACTGCTGTGCAAGCTAACAGCCCCACGACACTGGAGTTCAAACAGGAAGGACTTGGGAGCAAAGAGGGGGAGCCCCTGGGGGCAGGGCGGGGGGCTGAGAGCAGTCAGGGCAGAGGCACAGGGTGAGTGCTTTACAAGCAGGGGTGGTGGGAGCGGGGAGGGGGGTCCTGACCTGGCCAGGAGCTGGAGCTCATGCTGGGAGCAGCCAGGGGGCTGGAGGAAGTGATACTGCAGACCCGGATCTCAAGGAATTGGGGGTAGGAAGGGGTGGTTAATTTACGACTGGGAGAAGATTGGCTGCAAAGAGGCAGCAAGTGGAAATAAAGTCACCTGTGCTGGCTAGGGAGGTGAGAGGGGACCGACGCAGGCCACGGGCAAGGCTGTGAGGGACAACAGGGGGCAGAAGGGGAGGAGGGTCTCCTGGTGAGCCTGGGGGTGGCCCTGCCTTGGGCCCCACATCGCCTCAGGACCCAGACAACGAGGCAGGTCTCAGTTTCTTCTACCTCCTCGGCCTGTTCAAGAGTTGGGACTCCAGAATCACACAGTCACCTCTCCATGGCCTGATTCCATTGTCCTGACCCGGGCTGGAGCTCGCACCGTGCCTGCCACGCAGCCCCGTGTCCTGCATCCGGGGACCACGGAGGCTGTCAGAACAGGGAAGAGGATGGTCCCACCCCTGGCCAGGAAGTGCTGACGTCTCAGCTCCACGGAGATGGGCAGTTGGGCCAAAGCCTGGATGCACTGTGATTGCACCTGTTAACCTTGAAGCAGCCCCCATGCCGAGGGCGTGGAATGTTCTAGATCTTGGTCCCACGCTGTACTTGGGCTGGGTGTAGGGGGCCACCCCAAACCACAGAGCTCACGGCAGGGCTGTCTCTGCCCACCCCCTGAATCTGCTCAGTTCTGGGGTGCACAGATGCAGGGTGCCACGGGTGGGGAAGCCACAGGCAGGGGGCTGCTGCTGGGGCTCCACGACCTCCCGGGGGTGTGTAGGGCCCGGGCTCAGCAGGGAGAACCCTGGACCAGGGTGTGGCTAGGGATGGAGCAGGCAGAGGTGAGAAGGCAGTAGGAGGTGAGTGAGGCTGGTGATCCCTGGGGCAGGAGTGGGGGGCAGGGAAGGGAGGGTTTGGGAAACCGAGGCGCTGGCTGGGAGCATCTGTGACCCAAGCAGGTCTGGGGCGCTGGGAAGGGCCCTGCAGCTGGGACCTGGGCGGTGGAGAGGGGTGATGTGGGGGAGGCCGGAGGGCTTTCAGCATCGTCACCAGACTCCCTGGCTCCCAGAGCCTCTGTCTTCTCCCGGTCTCTCCAGCTCTCCTGTTGAGTCCGACCCCAACCTCACTCCCTGCACAGCGCCAAATGACTGCAGAGCTGTCTGAACTTGCACCCAGAGCTGCTGGGTGCCCACAGAGACCCTCCTGGCTATGGGGAGGCTGAGGTCCACCAGGGACGTCCTGGGGGTGGGTGATGGAGCGTGGCCCCAGCTGGCCACGACTTGACTCTGGCCAACTCCCTCCCCCTCAGGCTGCCTCCCTTCAAGCCCCGCCCCCCCAACTCTGCTCTGATGCCCTCACCTCTTTCCCTTGGGGAGAGAGGAGCCCGTGCTGCCCGCTCCGTGCCCTCCCTGTCCCCGTGTCATCTGCGGCCCGGCCTTCTGTAATTGCGTCTCTGCTGGCTGCGACACCGAGGCACGCTCGGGTTTCTTCCACCTTAAAATAGGCCTCTTCTGCCCCGGCCGCCACCTCCTGGCTGCAGCCTCCCTCCTTTCTCGTCTCTCCTGGCCTGGCCTCCGCCCCCCTGCAGGTCCAACCACAGAGCCCTGGGGCGGCCGCTGCTGTCCTGGCCGCTTCCCCTGTGACCAGCTGCTCGGTGCCAGGACCAAGGGGGCCTGAGACCACGGGCTCCAGAGCAGCTCGGACCGGCTTCTCTCCGCTTCAGCAGAGTGGGGAAACTTAGACCCCAGGCGGCGAGCGTTGGCATTGGGACCCCCCTCCAACTCTGGATCTGGCCACCACCTGGCTCTCACTCCGGGAGCCCCTGCCCCACCTCTGCGCTTGTGGGGGGTGGGCTCTGTCACCCTTGCCTGTCGCCCCTGGTGTTGAGGTGTTCTGCCATTTTTGTAGACCCAGTTCTGGGGGCTCAGCCTAAGCTCCTGCCCTCTCCCTTCTCCCGCACCTGTGGCCCTGGCTCTGCAGCCAGTAGGTGGGGCTGGCACCCAAGCGCTCCCTCCATCCTACAAAGATGGGTGGGAGCCTGTGGACCCTGTGGGGGAGTGGGGGGTGACGCCTACGGGAGCTGTCGGCCAGCATCCAGGGGAGCTGTGGGGCTCCGGGCAAGCTGGTGCAGGCAGCAGGGCGCGAGGGTGACATCTGAGTCGAGAGCTGACCCTTGAGGTGCTTCAGGGCCAAGGAAGTGCTGGGGCACGATGTTCCTGCCAGAGGCACAGCGGGTGAAAATGTCCCACCTTGGCCATGAACTCTCGTGTCTGGGGGGATGGAAGAGAGGCCTGTGTGCTGGGGCTTCCTGGCAAGGGGGCAGCCGGCTGGGCAGGGGTCAGGGGAGCTGGGCTTCTGTCCTGAGCAGGCTTTGCCTCTTCTGCCGCCGCCCCAACCGCACCCACCCCCGCTCCACAGCCAGTCCCCACTGTGTCCCTTTTCCGCCCGGTTCAGGCTGCATTCTGTCTCCCGGCCACCATTCCCACCGTGTCTGCTGGTGTCTCAGCCCCCGTGCTCCACACCATGGCCAGAGCTGTCTCTGAGGTGGGGACACCCCGAGGAGCCACCTCCCTTTATAGCGGAGTCCCCTGTTGGGGGGGTGTCTTTCCGCTGGGTGCTTTGGGCTCGGACTCCAGCTCCGACTTTCCCTACGGAGCCCCTGGCCCCCTGGGTCCCTGGGTGACATTGACCATCCCCATAACCTGTTTCCATGACACAGAGCCCATTCTTTGCAAAAGCCACCTCCTCCTTGCCAGCCTGGCTCTCTCCGAGCACGGAGGGCCCCGGCTGGCCTCGTGCCTGGGAGCTCTGAGTGGGGAAGAGGGAGGGAACGCCCAGCACTGGGCACCCTTGGCTTCCTCAGCCACGAGAACTTGTAGGAATGGGCTGGAACCTTGTGGGGCCACGGGCGAACTGCTGGCACGCACGCAGCAGGGGCTGGGGCTAGGGCTGGGGGTGGGGGTGTGGGGTGCATAGTCGCTGGTACACTTTGTGGGGAAATCAATCCATGCCAATGCGTTTCCAGTGGGTTCTCCAGACACCGCCCCTCCTCCCGGCTTCAGCATGTTGTCCCCAAGAGTGCGAGCTGGGCCGAGAGGACCTCCCAGAGACCCTGCCCAGGATGGGGAGGGGGTGGAGGCACCAGGAGCCCAAGCAGCCACTTCAGACGCACAGGTGGCGGGCGGAGGGAGCAATGTGCCGCCTGTTGGGCCCGACTGTCACGTACCAAATGTTCCAGGGATGGAGGGGGGGATGAGTAAAAGGAGGAATGATGTTTCATCCTTTGTCATTTGGGAGAAGCGGGTATTTCAGAATTGCTCTGCAGGACCAGCGGGCTGCACTCCTCCCCCCCTCCCGGGGCTAAGGCGGTGCTCAAGTGGGGACCTAGGTCCTTTGCCCCCAGGGACGCTCATGAGTGTTGCTGGAAAAAAAGCATCCCAGGGTCTCAGAGGTCCGGAAATGAGTCTCAGGTTAAGCAAGGTTGAACAGGATTCTTTTTCTTTTTTTAGTTATTTATTAGAGAGAGAGAGAGATGGATGTTCCATCTGCTGGTTCATTCTCCAAATGGATGCAGCAGCCAGGGCTGGGCCAGGCTGAAGCCAGGAGCCTGGACCTCCATCTGGGTCTCCTATGTGTGTGCAGGGACCCAAGGACTTGGATCATCCTCTGCTGCTTTCCCAGTCGCATTAGCAGGGAGCTGGATTGGAAGTGGAGCAGCCAGGACTCGAACTGGCGCCCCTGTGCGATGCTGGCGTCACAGGTGGCGGCTTTACCTCCTGCACTAATATACCGGCTCTTGAGCAGGATTCTTTATGGCAGTTTTTTTTTTTTTAAATTACTTGAGAGGAAGAAGAAATAAAAGGCAGACAAAGAGAGCTCATCTATTGGTTTACTCCTTAAAGTGCCCACACAGGCCAGGGCTAGGCCAGGCTGGAGCTGAGGGACCTGGGGGCTCCATCCAGGTCTCCCATGGGGGGTGGCAGGGATCCAAGCACTTGACCTATCGCTGCTGCCTCCAAGGGTGCACACTGGTGTGGAGTGGGACTCACGTCTAGGCACTCGGGTATGGGACGCGGGCACCCTAACCACGCGGCTAACTGCCCCCTCCCCTGCATTTTTTTGGAAGGAGCATCTTCCAGAGCTTCCATTCCAATCACACGCTTCGGGAAGGCTGTCTACCCTCTGGAAGACGAGAAACGTTTCAGAAAAACAATGCGATGAATGTCACTTCAGAGAGCTCATTTCCCTTGCTTTGTCAGAACGGCAGCATAAAATTAATTTCATTTCCAAAGACTGTAATGTCACATTACTAAATTTAATTCACTTTTTTTCCCCCCTCTTCCAAAGAGTGATTTTAAAAAACACATTTCGGATCTACAACTGGTGGGAAACAAAGTTCTACACACGGAGCCATGGCTAAATCTGTTCAAGTTTCTTATACAGGATGCAAATGTGGTCCCAGAATTTCACTTCTGCCACGACTATTGCACCCCAAGTTCGCCACGCCGCGCGCTTCCAGTCACGTGCGAGGTCTTGGCTGGTTTCCCTGAGCCCGGCTGTCACAAAGGAGCCGTCTTGGAGCTGTCTCGTCTGCTTGGGTCTGGCACAGCCCAGCTGCCTTGTGGCCCGGAACGAACTGATTCAAGGGCTGGGGTCAGTGGCCTGTGCTGTTGGCCAGGCAGCAGGCACCAGGGGTCAGGCCGAGGGAGCCCAAAGGCCTGACCTGCTGCTGGCTCGTGGGGGCGGTTGGCAGGGACACTGGTGCTGCTTCCGTCCTGCAGGGGACTGAGCTCACCGGGGTTCCTTGCAGCATGTTCTGAGCCCATGTCTTCGGCCCTGTCACTCACACTGGCCTCTGGTGACAGCTGGCGGTCGCCGTGTGGCTCTGTCGCTGGACTCACTGTGGGAAGGAATGGATTCTTTATGAAGCTTTTTGATGAGCAGAAAATAAGCAATCCTTCTGGGAAAAAGCTACCTTGGGAATTTCTCCCGAAGCTCTCTCCTGGTTGAGTTCAGGTCCACTCCAAGGGGCACCCCCCCCGCCGTGCCTTTGTGTCCCCTGGCTGATCAGAATCTTTTAAGGTAGTATACTTAAAAACCGTGGCGTTGGCCGGCGCCGCGGCTCACTAGGCTAATCCTCCGCCTAGCGGCGCCGGCACACCAGGTTCTAGTCCCGGTTGGGGCGCCGGATTCTGTCCCGGTTGCCCCTCTTCCAGGCCAGCCCTCTGCTGTGGCCAGGGAGTGCAGTGGAGGATGGCCCAGGTGCTTGGGCCCTGCACCCCATGGGAGACCAGGAAAAGCACCTGGCTCCTGGCTCCTGCCATCGGATCAGCGCGGTGCGCCGGCCGCAGCGTGCCGGCCGTGGCGGCCATTGGAGGGTGAACCAACGGCAAAGGAAGACCTTTCTCTCTGTCTCTCTCTCTCACTGTCCACTCTGCCTGTCAAAAAAAAAAAAAAAAAAAAAAAAAAAAAAAGTGGCGTAGCAGGTGGACCGTCACCTGTGGCCCACGGTGCTGACATCCCATGAGAGAGCTGGGCCAGATTGAAGCCAGGAGCCTGGAACTCCATCTGGGGCTCCCCAGCACTTGGGCCATCTTCCGTTGCTTTCCCAGGTGCATTAGCAGGGAGCTGGATCGGAAGTGGAGCAGCTGAGACTCGAACCTCAGGCTCAGATTGGTGATGCTGGGAACCACGCGGCGAGTTAACCGACCATGCCGCAACGCTGGCCCCAGCCAAGCTCCGGTTTGGTTGTCTTTTCCTCTGGATCAACACCCTATGCCCACCCCTCTCCCACCCTGCCCCTGGCCCTCTGGTCTTGTGCCGGCAGGCACCCTCCCTTCCTGCTGGCCACAGCTCCGTCGTCTCCCCACCTGATGCCAGGACCCCCCCCACCTTGCTGGCTGCACCACTGCCGGCTCCCCCTGAACCCTGCTCAGGGCCCAGGCCCGCACACCTGCAGGCATTACCCTGGCATCTAGCCCGCGCTGACTTAGCAAGCACGCTCAGCCAGGGCCACAGGTGTTCCCGTCTGCATCCTGCAGGCCAAGCCCCGCAGGTCACCCCAGGGATGGGGGCAGGCCTCTGGCAGCGCGGTGTATCAGCTCCACAGAGCAGCAGTGCAGGGAAGGCCAGGTGTCAGGGTCCGGCGGACGGCAGCCTGGGCTTCTGTGGACTCCTCCTCCAGGCAAGCGAGGGGCCGCGGCCGCGTGAGGCTGGCGCCCCCTTGCGGCCCAAAGGATTCAGCGGAGGTGGCTGGGAAGGAGGACGAGCAGGGGGCGGGCGGGCAGGGGGCTCTCCTAGGATAGTGGGGGCCACGACTCTCCAGGAAGCCCCAGCAAACCTCTCTCTGGAGCCCAGGCGGAATCGTGGGACCAGCCCGACTGCGTAGCTGTGGTGGGGACGGGGATGATCGTGTATTCCCAGCCTGGACCCGAGCTGGTGTCAACTCCCGCGACAAAGCACGCGGGCTGCTTGGCCAGGTGTGTGCGCCTGTGCGGGAGGGCGTTAGGCGCACAGCCGCTCGGGACGCCCATTTCCCGTGTTGTAGCGCCTGAGTTACAAGGACATGGATGCTACCCCAGATGGCCACTGTTGTGGGAGTGCTCAGGGGCTGGGGGGTGGGGGGTTGGCACGAGGCCACCCCGCCCAGGGCGCTTCTCACCGTCCAATGGCAGCAGGTCCTGGGCGACGAGGAGGAAATACAGCAGTGGGACAGCGCGCTGCGAACGTGGGCACGCCCCTTTCCTGCATCCCGTTCGTCCCATCCCTGGGCGGGCTGGGCTCTAACGCTCTCCGAGTCGGAGCCACCTGGGGAGACACCGGCGGGCCTGGAGCGCCCTCTCGTGGGCGTCCTGGGTGCGGCCTCTCCTCCACTGAGGTCCGGGCTGCAGGATTCCGAAGTCTCCTGTGAACGCCCAAGAGTCCCAGGCAGGTGGGCTTTGCTCCCTTTGGGGACTGCATACATGGAGAGCACAGCCGGTCCCTCCCAGGATCTCCTGAGATTCTAAAACCCACAGTGGTCTGCTCCCCGCACGGCGGGTGCGGGTGCACCTGCTTCTGGACAGATCTTGGGAGCCATGCTAGATGGGGGTGGGAATGGATGCCTGATTTACAGGAGTGTGTGTGGAGGGGGGCAGAAGCTCCGGGAAGGGCGCAGCCTATGGCCAGGGGACATTGGCTAAGCTGACTCTCAGGATCTTCCTCGATTACCCCTTCCAAGTCATCTGGCCAGGGTGGGGCTTTGCTGTGGCACAGTGGCCCAGTGCTCCTGGTGAGCCCACTGACTTGGGGGTACAGAGGGGTGCAGGTGGAGGGGCCCTGGTTGCTGTTTGAGACTAGAAGCCCCCTTGACTGCTCTGAGACCACAGCTCTCCCTGGAAGTGCAGGCGTTGGGTGTGGGAAGGGCAGTTATTACCACTGCTTCTTCTTTGTAAGGTGTTTTATTTGAAAGGCAGAGAGAGAGGGGGGAGAGAGAGAGAGAGAGAGGAGAGAGCCCTTCCACCCACTGGTTCATCACCCAAATGCCTGCAAACCTTCGGGCCAGGCCAGACAGAAGCCAGGAGCCAGAAACTCCATCTGGGTCTCCCATGTGGGTTGTGGGAACCCAAGGACTTGGGCCATCATCCTCTACCTTCCCAGGCATATTAGCAGGGAGCTGGATTGGAAGTGGAGCAGCTGGGGCTGAAACCAAGCCTCTGATGGGGGATGCAGCCTACAGGCAAGGGCCCAACTTGCCGTACCACAGCGTCTGCCTCTATTATTATTTTAAAAATTAATTACTTTGGGGTCTGGTGTTGTTGTGATATAGCAGGATAAGCTGCTACGTGCAGTGCCGGCATCCCATGTGGGTTCCAGTTCGAGTCCCGGCTGCTCCACTTCTGATCCAGCTCCCTGCTGATGAGCCTGGGAAAGCAGCAGAAGATGGCCCAGGTGCTTGGGCCCCTGCACCCACATGGGAGACCTGGATGAAACTCCTGGCTCCTGGCTTCAACCTGGCCCAGCCCTGGCCATTGTGGCCATTTGGGGAGTGAACCAGCGGATGGAAGACCTCTCTCTTTCTCTCTCTCTGCCTTTCAAATAAATAAAATATTTTTTGGTAAAAACATTAAAAAAAGAGATTTATTTATTTACTTGAAAGGCAGTGTTACAGAGAGGAGAGGAGCCAGAAACAGGCTGAGTGCAGGGGCCCGGGTGCATCAGCAGGGAGCTGGATGGGAAGTGGAGCAGCCGGGACTCAAGCCCACACCCACAGGGGACGCCGGCCCTGCAGGCAGTGACTGCTTGCAACACCGCAAGGCCACAGCACCGGCCCAATAAAATAAACCTTAAAAAAAAAAAAAAAAAAAAGAAGAAAATGGGACCCTTCTTCCTTTCGCACGTGAGTTCCACAGGAGCCTTCCGGCATGGGGACAGCACATGGTCAGGGTCTCGGCTTTTTCCTCCCTGGCTCTACAGGCTGGCAGGTCAGCTGGCTGCCCCCGGCCGCCTCTGTGTCCAGCCAGAGCCAGAGGAGCGCCTGCAACCTCCTGGCTTCCACTCACATTCCATTGGCCAACACTCAGTCACGGGACTCCCCGGCTGCAAGGGGTGCTGGGAACACCGAGGACTCCCCCCTCCCCCATCCGGGTCTCCCATCCTTACTGCTTCAGAAGCTGGGAGCAGGTGCCTGGGCCCACAGCAGGGGAGGGGGCCTCCAGTCCCTTCCCCGGCCGTCTCCGTTGCTGGGGGTGACCCACACGTGCGTGCGCGGCCAGGATCTGACTTACAGAGAGAGCCAGGCTTGGCCTGGAAGGGCTGCGCGGCGGCTGGCACCCACGTTCTGGCCCTGACCCCACCGCCCTGCCCGGGAGAGTCTGTCCTTGGACCCGCCGGCCTCTCTGGCTGCTGCCGCAGAGCTGGACATCCCAGAGTGTTCCCCATGGGCGGTGACATGGGGCCGGCGCCCGTTGGCGTGTGTTCGTGCACCAGAAAGCAAAACCCCTCATGAAGAAAACAAAGTTGCTGCATCTGAGTTGGTGTAGACTCAAGCGGTTTAGGGTGCAGGTAGATGGGGAGCCCGGGGCTCTGCTGCTGGTTCCCCCACTCCTGCAGTTGCGTGACCCTGGGTGAGTGGCTCAGCCTCTCTGGGCGTCAGCATAGTGGTGGTTGGGAAGGTTAGATGTTGAAATCCATACACTTAGTGCTTGGGCAGTGTCTGCATGCCCAGGGCTCATTGGACAGAGCAAGGATCGGGGGATGGAAACGGGGGGTATAGGAGAGAGCGTTAGGGGGCCCGCAGTGCAGGGCGGACCCGACAGACTTTGCTGGAAGAGCATGGAGGTCGTGAGCCCTGGCAGAGAGCTGCCCGCTGCACCTGTCTCCCTGGAAGTGGACACTCGGGGCTCCCTGGGGATGGAGTGAGAGCTTAGTGGCTTTGCATGGTGGACTCACTGCGGGCAGAGGTGCAGCCCCAGGGACCTTCTGGGGCTCCCAGCAGCAGGAGCTGGGTGCACGCTGGCTCCCTGGTGGAGGGGGCAGGCGGGCAGGTCTCAAGGAAGGTAGCCTGGTCTTTCCGAGGGGCGGGCAGCTGGGCAGAGGGGAGCTCCCTCTGAAACCCTGAGTGTGTGGGGGCAGGCACTGGCAAACGCCAGGACTTCCCACTACAGTGACTGCCAGGAGCTTCCTCCGGGTCTCCCACGTGGGTGCAGGGGTCCAAGGACTTGAGCCATCTTCCACTGCTTTCCCAGGCCACAGCAGAGAGCTGGATCAGAAGAGGAGCAGCTGGGACTCGAGCCAGCACCCATATGGGATGCTGGCATTGCAGTTGGCGGCTTCACCTGCTATGCCACAGCACTGACCCTGTGTTTCTTTCTTGATTGTGATTCAAACTCACTAACTTTACATGAAATATGCATTTTTCTGGTTTTATTTGTATGTCAACCACAGCTCAATAAGGCTGCCAAAGCAAAAAGAATGCCCATAAATCAGTAAGAAAATGACAGCTGATGGGACAATGGAATGATCTGAGAAGGCACTTTACAAAAAATAGTAGCCTGGCAAGTATGAGAAGTGGCTCACTGGCCCTGCTTACCGAGGAAACACAGGGTCAAAGCACCAGCAGGTGGCTGGTTCCCCATTCCCACCAGCAAGGCTGAAATGAAACAATGTGAAAATAGTTGGTCTGGACAAAGCTGTGGAGCAACAGAGTTTCTTTGGCACTGGTGCAGCCCAGCTGGGAAGTAATCTGATGCCGAGTATCAGATGAAGATCCCCATGTTCTAGATCCAAGGCATGCACCCGGGTGAGGACCGAGACACGGGCTCACCAGGATTCCCGCACCCTTCCGTACGGTGCCCCAAAGGGACACAACCCAGTAGCCAAGGGCTACGGTGACTACGCCTGGGGTGCAGACAGCGGAGTACTCTACAGCAGTGAAAAGTTGAGACCCACAGGGCATTGAACAAGGTGAATGAGGGACAGAAACGAGACATGGAAGAAGAAATATGGCATGGTTCTACACAGATAAAGTGCAAACCCTGGCAAAACTAAGTGACAGCATTGGAAGTCAAATAATGACGTGGGGGCAGAGGGGCGGGGTGGGCATGGTTTTTTGGGGTGGTGACAATGCCCTTTTTCTTCACCAGTGTGGGCTTATACAGATGTTTGCTTTGTTATAATTTCTATATTTAAATATTTCTCTGTGGGCCTTATACGTCTTAACAAAAAAGTTAAAAATAAATTGTATTTATATCGTATCTCTAGCAGAGAGATTTGTCCTAAGAGGATTTGTCTGGCCTTCCTCCTGAGGAGGAGGGGTCTTGGCACTCTGGCATCTCCCTAGGGGTCCTGGTGGACTCAGCCCCCAGCCCTCGGGGTCCCCCCCTCAACCTGCCCGGCAGCTGTAGGTTCCAGGTGGCGCATGCGATGCCTCTCTCCCTGTAGCCTCTCTGCAGACAAGCCCCTGCAGAACCCCCCACCCTGAGCTGCACAAGGCCTTGCTAGGGTGTAGTTTACTCCTCAGAGGTTGGAGGCTTGGGTCTGACTGTATATGGCTGTGGGCCCTTTAAGAGGTGGAGCCTCCTGGGGGTGGTGGTCATGGATAAAGCCAGCTCTCCTGGGACCCTGAGTTAGTTCCTGGGGAGCAGAGCCAGCAGCTGTAAAAAGCAGACTGAGCCTAGTCCCTCCGGCTTCCTGTCTGGCCACGGGGTGCCCTCATGTTGCGTGTGCACCTGCTGTGAGGCTGCGCCCTGGCCAGAAGCAGGACCAATGGGATCCCCCAAGCTCTGAGAGCAAAGTCGACCTCTGTTGTTTGAAAGCAGGCAGGCTCAGCTTCTGCTGTGCTTTCTTGCTTCCAGCTGTGGCCCTGAACTTCCAGCCGGCATCTCCATGAAGCTGTTGATTGGCTAGTTCATTTGTTCACTCATGCTTTTCACAAAGCTTTTTAAAGTGCATTAAAAAAAAAAAAGATTTAATTATTTGGAAGGCAGATTGAGAGAGAAAGAGGGCGAGACAGAAGCTGTCTACTTTGTAGAGAGTTCCAAAGCCAGGAGCCAGGAACTCCGCCCGGGTCTCCCACATGAGTGGCAGGGACCCAAGCACTTGGGCCATCCTCCACTGCTTCCCCAGGTGCATTGGCAGGGAGCCGGAGCAGAATTGGAGAAGCTGGGACTCGAACCGGCACTCTGATATAGGATGCTGGTGTTGCAGGCGGCGGCTTAACCCGCTGCGGCCCAACCCTGGCCCCTTGAGCCCATTTTTAATACACCCCAGGCTCTGCAAGGCACTGAGGGGACAGCGATGATCCCTCCCTGCCCCCACAGAGCCTCCAGCCTGGCAGGTGTCAACCCTCATCCAAGAGCTGAAGGAGAGGCTGGGACTGGCCAGGGCACAGGGGACTGGCCCGCCTCTGAGCAGGAGTGAGGTGTGGCCTGAGAGCTGATGGGAGAGTTGGTGGAAAAGCATTCTGGCTGGGGGAGCAGCACGTGCAGGGTGCGCCTGGTGGGGACGGCAGAGGCTCTGGGACCAGTGACAGTGGCAGCCATGTGGTCAGCAGACTCCAGCAGCAGGGGCTCTGGGCATGGGCGCCTCCTTGCTCCTGGGAGGGACCCTAGGCACACAGGAGAGATAGCTCCCAGGAGAGAGGCAGTGCTATGAGGTGGGTGGGGGACTGGCTCCAGGAGGGACATGTGTCTGTGTGTCTCTGTGTGTGTTTGCATCTATGGCTCTGTGTGTGTCTCTCTGTGTGTCTCTGTCTCTGTGTATGTGTGTATGTCTCTGTGTCTGTGTGTGTATGTCTCTGTGTGTGCATATGTCTGTGTGTCTGTGTGTATCTGTCTCTGCCTGTGTGTGCTCTGTGTGTCTGTCTCTGTGTGTGTGTCTGTCTCTGCCTGTGTGTGTGTGTCTCTCTCTGTGAGTATCTGTCTCTGTGTGTGTTTGTGTGGGGCTGGACTAGTGGTCCACTCCTCAGTAGTGGGTGACAGCGGAAGGGCAGGGGGTCACTCCAAGGCTGGATGAAAAGTTGGCATAGTAAACAGCCTTGAGTTAGGGACAGGGGTTGCGTAACTGGGCGCTACGGTGCTCACATCCCTCGCCGGCGCGCCTGGGTCTGGTTCTCTACTCTGGCCTCTGACTCCAGCTTCTTGCTGCAGCACACCTTGGGGGGGACTGGTGCTGGCTCAAGTAATCAGCCAGGCCCTGGTACCCACGTGGGAGTCCTGGATTGAGTTCCTGGCTCCCAGCTTCAGCCTCAGCCCAGCCCTGGCCATTTCTAGCATTTGGAGAGTAAATCAGTGGAAAGGATCTCTGTCTGTCTGTCTGTCTGTCTATTCACCTCTCAAAAAAAATCTGGCTTTTGCAGGGCGTAGGGTCTCCGGTGCCATCAGTCAGCCGCGCCGTTGCGTGTGAGAGCAGCCGTGGACAATACGTAAGGGAAAGGGTGTGACCGGACTTGGCCTGAGCCGGGTGGAAGCGGGCCAGTGAGCTGTCCTTGGCTGACTCCAGCGCTAGCTCACGAGAGGCATTGTGACTTCCTGCCTTGCATCACCCGAAGCGGCGGGGGGAAGCCAGCTGTCCCTCTGTGAGGACACACAAGCAGCCGGGGGCCAGCTGCACACGTGGGATAGGTCTCCCGCCAGCAGCCCCGTGCTGGAGCTGTGAGCCTTTTCGAGAATGGTGCCCTAGCTGGGAGACCTAAGACAGAACCACCTGCTGAGCCGTTCCCAACTTTCTAACCCCCACGCAAGCCACAGAACAAATGCTTGGGACGATGAGTTACAGAGCAGTAGGTAACACATAGGGGCCAGTGGGGGCCAGATAATGCATTTCCCAGCCAAGATCTGACTTAAAATCCATTGTAGGCACCGAGTGTCACTTCCTTGTTCCTTAAGGGCATAATTGGGGTTCATGCTCTTAGGGTAAGCCCCACGTGGGAGCAGCGCCCCCCACTTCACCCTAGGGAGTGTGCGTGCCCGTTACGAGCATGCGAAGGGCGCAGGTGCAGGGGTCCCCATCGCTGCTCCATCTCTAGTTCACCGTCACACCTCGGTGGATGGAAGTGGACGACCATGTGCTTGGCCAAGCAGTAAGCTGTGCCCCCTGCACTGTGGATACATGCCCAGATGCTCGGCATACAAGCGGTGCAAGATTGGAGGGACACGTGTGCTCCCTACCTGGGAGGCCAGCTCCGCAGAGACTGCAGAGGCATTCCGGTGGAGATTTGGAGAGCCCGGCACTTAGGGGAGCCTCAGCTAAGGCTGTGGTCGTGAGAATACCCACTACTCACTGCGCTGCTCTCTCCGCTCTGCCGTGCCTTGTAGTTTGAGGTCATCGGCTCCTCTCTCTCCTTCCTGCTTTCTGAAAGCCTACGTCCTGCTGCACTTTGCTGAGTCGAGCTGGAGCGCTGCTTTCCTGGGACCCTGCACTGGGGAGGAGGGGCGAGATGGCAGCCTTGTCTACACTGGCTAAGGGAAAGCCAGGAAGCGGGGCTCTAGCGGGGCATCATGGTCTAAGGCCCCTTGCTGCCTTCTGCTGCCCCCTGCTGGCAGCTCCTCCTCCTCTGCCGCACCCCTGGGTTCTGGGCCCACCTCCCTTTCCTGACGGCTGTAGAGGAACAGGATCCGCTCCACCACTCACACGCACGCACACACGCACACGCACATGCGCACACACGCACGTCTAAAGCCCAAGATCCAATGTTACAGCGCCGAGAGGCCGGGAGCTCAGTGCATCCCTGGTGTCTGAGGGAGAGCCTTCGGGGAGTGACCGGACTGGATTCGGTTGCTGGGTGGGGTCCACATGACTGAATCTTGCAAAATGAAAACTTATTTTTTTTGAAAGGCGGAGAGAGAGGGAGAGAGAGAGAGAGAGATTGTCTGAAGACAATCCCTTGTTCCACATGTACCTGCTGTTTTGCCCTAGCCCCTGGCTCCAGTCTCTGCACCCGCCCCATCTTGCCCCGTCTCCTCTTTGAAGGGAAGCCTCACTGTGTGTTTGTATTCTGTCTCCTCACGCCGCATCCCGTGGGAGCCCTGTGCTCCGCTTCAGGCCCCATCCGGCTCACTGCCAGGCTCATCACATCCGCAAAGAACCCTTTTTCCAGCTAAGGTCACAGCCAAGGTCCTGGGAAGTGGGACCACCGTTCCGCTCACCGCAGGGCTGTGTACACAGCAGATGCCTAATGCATGCTGAAATGCCTGCCTTCCTCTGAGGCTGTTTGCAGGGCTGCGTGCAGCAGGCCCGAGATTGAGGGACAGAGAAAGGTGTTGGGAGAGAGGGGGGCTGGGGGATGGGGCTGACGGGGTCGGGTGGAAAAGGGGCAACTGTGGGGTGGGGCTGGTCAGCCCCCACCTCCCCAGGCTGCTTTGACCCCCGAGAGAGACTCATAGAGGGGCTTCTTTGTCCTTTAGCTCACACCCTTTCCAGCCTGGCCCATATTGGTGGCTCACTGGCCAGCTTGAGGGTCTCGCTGTCCCAAGTGTTCCCTGCTCTGACCACCCAGCTGCACCTCCGATGGGGGGCACTCTGCAGCTCAAACTCCTGCCATGGCTCCCTACTTCTGCAGAGTTGGTCTAAACTCCTCCTGCATCTGCCATCCCTGGGCAACCTGGCTCCGCCCCTTCCTTTTCCTAGACTCCTCTCCTCCAGGCTGTTCCCCACACTTTCCCGGGGTTGGGGGGGCTCTCCCTCTCGGGGAGCTTCCTGGCACTTCCCTTCTCTGGAGTGAGTTTCTTCCTCCTAGCCCTAGCTATCTGTGCAGGCCCAGCTCTATGCCTCTTCCTCCAGGCAGCCTTCCAGATTTCCTGGGGGTGGAAGTGCTCACTTTCTCCCCACAGCTCCTGGCTTCTCTGCTGGCCCCAGGGCTGTTTTGTGGTTGGGACTCACTTCCAACACAGAGCTCACCCGCTTTGGCAGGGGCCACATCCACCCCACTTTGGGGTTCCCAGTGCCCGGGCCAGTGCTCAGCATGTAAAATGCTGACTAAGTATTTTTCCAGCGAGCCAAACATTCATGGTAGCTCTTGCAAGGTGAACTCCAGGGCCCCGGGGCGGGGCTCTGATGACCCACCTGTTGCAGCTCACCAACACTGACGTGTGCTGGAGTCACTGCCCCATTGATCGGCCCCAGCATGCTGAGGGTTCTGATAAGATCTTTGCCCCACTGAGTTCCCTTCGGCCCCTGCCCAACGCCCCTGCTCCCCTGCACTACACATTTCGGCCCCTAGATGGCACCACTGCATCATCCCCTTCCCAAGACCTGGGGAGGAGGGCACCGCCGAGAGATGGTTTCAAGGAAACCCTGGCCCAGCTTAAACTGGCCAGAGCAGGCTGCTAATTTCAGCTGCTGTTTAATGTCAGGGTGAGTGGGCGGGTCGCACACGGGGTGGGATGGGAGCCGGGAGAGTAACAGCGCCCCCCTCAGAGGGTTTTGGGCTAGATAAGTGATTTGTTTAATAGAAGGTGCCTAGAACATGTCTGGTGCATATTAAGTGCTCAATACAATTTGATCTTTTCCCCTTTCAATTTCCATGTCCAGGACCACGCTCTCGTCCCTTGGGAGCGGAGACCCAGGTGGGCTACCTGTCTCTGCATCCCAAAGATTGGCTCAGGGCAGGTGCTTCCCCTGCCATTCCTTCTCCACCCTGCCCTGTCAGACATGGGGAGGCGAGCACACCGGCAAGAGAGAGTGGACCCAGGGCTGGCGCTGTGGTGTAGCGGGTAAAGCCGCCTCCTGCAGTGCCAGCATCCCATGTGGGCACTGGTTAGAGACCTGGTTGCTCCACTCTGATCCAGCTCTCTGCTATGGCCTGGGAAAGCAGTAGAAGATGGCCCAAGTGCTTGGGCCCCTGCACCCATGTGGGAGACCTGGAGGAAGCTCCTGGCTCCTGGCTTTGGATAGGCTCAGCTCCAGCCATTGTGGACCCCTGGGAGGCAGGTGGGGGCGGACATGAGGCAGGCATCACCTTACAAAGGGCTCTGCCCTCTACCCCAGCATTAGTCAGCCCCTGGGGCTTGGTTGCACCCACCTGTGTGAGCACACAGGTGACCCCACCTCTCTGACCCTCAGTCTCCTCCTCTCTCCTGTCGGGGTGCAGCGTGGGGCACAGCAGGGAGCACACAGCAGAGTGTGGGATACGGCAGTGAGAAAATGCACACATTCAGCACCATTTTGGGGTCTGGGCTGGTGGAAGGAGGTGGGGCTCTGTGTGCCAGGTGTTGGTGGAGGGGGAGAGGGTGCGAAGGGGGGCAGTGGATGGAACCGGCTCAGCGTCAGCCCCACTGACTGGAAGGGGCTGCCGTGGGGCCCACGGCGGGAGCCGATGAGGGAGCCTTGTTTCTGGCGGCTGCTGAGACCCTGGGTCTTGACTGCGTGGTCTCAGAGCCTGGGGCCTATGCTTAGAGAGGGGAGGGGTCACCCCCGTTCCTCCTCCTGAGCCCTCAGCCTGCCGCAGAGGCTGGGGGTCCTCTGAGCAGAGTTCTCGCAGAAGACACTGGCCTTGGGGACAGAGGCGCCCTCACGGGGTCCCCAGAACAGAGCAAAGCTGCACCCCTTGGGGGCCCCCGGGACAGAGAGGAGCCTTTCTGGGCACAGCACGCAGGAGGGGCCCTGGGGGGGCCAGTCTGGTGTGGTCACTGGTACCCATGCTAGCTAGAGGCTGGCGGCCTCCCGGGCTTGGTGGATGGGAGTGTGTGTGTGTGTGTGTGGGGGGTCATCTGTGTCCCCAGGGAGCATGATCAGGGAGCCAGGCCGGGGAGGGCAATGCCTGGGGCAGGGAGTAGGGAACCTCAGACGCACTGTCCCCTGCCAAGGCCGTCTTCAGAGAGAAGGAAGCCGGGGCCACAGGAATCTCCCTGCTCCCCGCCTTGGGTCTCGAGTCCCAGAGCTTCAGATATGAGCAGCCCTGTCCTGCTGGCCTCTGCTAGGGTGGCTGCGGGCCCCCTGGGACCTGGCCCAGCCAGGGTGAGCTCCTCAGCCACCTTCACAGACCCCGGGCTCCCCACATGCCTGCGCCAGGTCTGGGAGCCACAGCAGGCGCCCCTTCACCTCCTGCCCCAGCCCATGGCCAAGTCCAAGGTTGGAACCCTCGCGCCTGCCTCTGCCTCTCTGCTGTTCCCTCCTGTGGTCCCCAGGCCTGCCCTTCCTCCCTTCTCCTTTAGGCTCACCTCCTCTGATTCGGCTCTAGGTGCCCAGTAAGGGCCTGGGGGCACCGAGGACTTCCTTTTTTGGGCCTGAGCTGGGACTGGCTCCCCATCCCCCATCTCCTGCCTGTCACATCCTCACCAGCTGGGGGCGCTCCTGTCCCACGGAATCACTGCAGGGATGCAGAGTGGAGGCAGGGAGCCTGCGGAGAGTCTCCGGGCAGTGGCAGGGCCGGCTGGACCTGCCTGGCAGGTCTGGGCAGGGTCCCTGAGAGGAGCGTTTCTGTGCACAGCTGCCGCGTGGGGTGTGGGGCTGTGTGTGCCTGTGCATGCATGTGGTGAGGGGCAGGGGTTGCAATGTGCAATGGGTCCTGGTCCCTAGCAGGGTTCCAAGGACCCAAGTGAAAGTCTGGGCCTGGCCCTGCCTGCCCCAAGCCCTTCCCCCTTCTTCCCTCCCAGGGGGCAGGTCCTCAGCCCCCTGAGGGTGAGCTTTGGGGTCTCACCCTTACCCTGCCACTTGGCCCATTGCTGCCACTCCTGTAGCCTCAGTGCCGTTGTAAGTGAAATGGGGATGATAAGCCAGCGTTCCAGGGCTGTGTAGAACAGCTGAGCGTGGACTGGCCTGGCCTCCACAAAGCGGAGGGGGAGACCAGGGGCTGGACACAGACACCGTTCCTCCCCGGGGCACCAAGCCAGCGAGGGCAGGCTGCGCCCTCAGGAAGCTGGGGGCCGGAACCTCCGGGGCTGCTGTAGTCTGGGTGGGGCGGCTGGAGTGTTGGGGGCAGCTGGGGGCCTGTGTGGCTGGGCAGGGCGGGGTGTAGGCTGCGAGTGAAGACACCTGTGGGTATTCCCCGGGCAGGGGGCACTGGGTGTGCTGGGCGGGGCTGCCAGGATCTGCGCAGCTTCGGAAAAGGCTCCTTTTTCCGGCATGGGGCTTCGGTGCAGAGGCAGGGCCAGTGCTGGCAGGGGCCTGGGTGGTCATCAGGGGGCAGTGCCAGGGCCCGGGCAGGGGTGGGAGGACACCTTGTCCTCTGGACTGCACGGTATGGGATGGAGGTTAGATGACAAGAAGAACTTCCTGGGCCAGGTCTGGGGACACTCTGGCCTGGGAACCTGGCCTCTACTTGTTCCTGGGTCCCTTCTATCCCACTGTTCTCTATCCCCTGACCCCTATCTGGCCTCTGGGGTGAGCCCTAGCCTGGCGGGGGTCAGATGTGGAATAACTCTGGGCCTGCTCTGTCCATCGTAATAGGGGCATGGAGTCATAGACCCTGGCTCTCCTCCTCTGTGGCCTGTGCTGCCCAGAGCCCAGGCATAGGGGCCAGTGTGCACCTGCTCTTCTACCTGGGGGCACGTGTGTCCCCTGTCCAGCCCCTCTGCAGTGGCTCCCAGCCACTCCCACAGGGGGCTCTGACCCATTACTCGGGGCCAGCACTCTGCTCAGCTCTCTCTTGGGCACAGTCCTACCCTTGGATGTCCCTGGCGGTCAGACAGTGGACACGGGTGGGTGGTGTGGGTGGACATGGGGCTGGTGAGGGGCTTGGGGCTTGGGGTGTGGAGGGTGGGGCTGGGCGGAGGGCAGAGGCAGGCCGGGTGCTACTGGGATGAGGAGAAGGCCTTGGGAAAGCAGGGTTTAGGGGAGCACTGTAGGTTTGGGGCAGCAGTAATGCTGGCATTGGGATTTGGGCCACAGTGGGAGATGGGAGTGGGAAGGGC